AAGTGTGCACGCTGAGTGTGCACTTCCTTTCAGTCCCGCCGGAAACCGGAACCTGAAATAGAAGTTCCTGGACCGCGGAGCGCGCTGTGAAGCCGGCCCACGCTCCAAGACAGGTAAGTAAATCTTCACATTCGCTCCATAAGACGCACAGACATTTCCCCTCACTTTTGAGGGGGAAAAAAGTGCGTCTTATGGAGCGAAAAATACGGTAAATAAATTTTTTTTTGTATCACTCCAATGGCCATTTAAGTGTAAGCTCACTTGCCACGTCAAGGAAAACCTCTTAGGCGAGTCCTACGCTAACAATTCCCCTTGTTTCTTTCAGCTTCAGGTAAAAAAAATCTCTGAGTTATACTGCCCACCTCCTGTGTTCCCTGTTAAGGATTAGTAAGTATGTAAGGGTTTACAAAAAATACCCCTCTCTGTCTCATTTATTTTACCTGAAGCTGAAAGAATAAAGGCAAATTGTTAGTCTAGGACTCGCCTAGGAGGTTTGGGTTTTATTATATGTATTGTGGCTGATGTGTACTTTAGTCATTGCTGCTGCCCAGGAGTAATGGGAGTTTGAGCGCAGGACTTGTTTTTTTTTTTTTTATATTGGTTATTTTGATAGCTGCCAACAATATCTATGTGGATGTTAAACATTTCTGGATGTTAAAGATTTTTCCTCCGTATCATAACTATTGTGAAATTACCAAATGTATTTGTATACAGCAGAATATATTGGTTCTTTATAAAGAACAAGCTAACTTGTCTCCTTGCTCCCTAATGTCTCTATTACCAAACCTTCAAAGTTCTATGATAACAACATAATTACCAAAATAATTTTATGATTAGCCATTTTGTGTTTTCAAATACCTCAACAGAGGCAGGTTTTACAATAACATTTCCTGCAGGTGTAATTCTAGAGGGAATTGACATAACCCAACTGTTTATACAGAAATCTTATCTCAAAACATTAACTTTACAATGAGATAAGAACACCCACTAGCCAAGCATATTTGAAATAACTCAGCCACACGTGCAACGCTTGCTCGGGACAGAAGGAAGATGTATAAATGTATAAGAATTCTGGTATTTAAACAGTTTGGCAACAAAGTTCAAAGCAAAGTGAGCCTGACATTCTAAATAGACTGCACTTTATTGTTTGACACCTCGTTCCTCTCCTTTATTTTGTTTAAATTAGTTAAGTAATACATGACTTAAAGGACCACTATAGGCACCCAGACCACTGCAGCTTAATGAAGTGGTCTGGGTGCCAGGTCCAGCTAGGGTTAACCCTGCCTGCTGTAAACATAGCAGTTTCCGAGAAACTGCTATGTTTACTTTAGGGTTAATCCAGCCTCTAGTGGCTGTCTCATTGATAGCCGCTAGAGGGCTTCCGCGCTTCTCACTGTTTGCTACTCAAACTGTTTGTTTGAGTAGCGGTGATAGGCTTTGTTTAACACTAAAGAAATGTCCCCAAAAGCCTGTCTGTTGCCTCTTTTTTCAGTGCTCGGATTTGTGCCGATGCAACAAATTGGTGGCAGTGATAGGCAGAGACTATCAACTAACGTCCTTAATCAATTACTGGCCGGTACAAGAGCTAGTAGAATAGATAGAGATATCTGGAGCTGGTAGAATAGATAGAGATATCTGGAGTTGGTAGAATAGATAGAGATATCTGGAGCTGGTAGAAAATATAGAGATATCTGGAGTTGGTGGAATAGACAGAGATATCTGGAGCTGGTAGAATAGACAGAGATATCTGGAGCTGGTTTAATAGAGATATCTGGAGCTGGTAGAATAGAGAGAGATATCTGGAGCTGTGTCACGACACTGCTTAGTTGATTTGCCCTCGTGCAGTACTCACACTCACCACTGTTTCTGTTTGGCACTGTTCCTGATTTCTTTTCATTAAGCACTTCACCTGGTCCTTGTTTAGCACCTATTTAGTTTGGTTTCTCCCCTCACTCCTTGCCAGATCATTTCTTTTGTTTCCTGTTTCCCTGGTCTCCTGTGTTCCTGGCTACTGCTTACTGTGACTTGGTCCTGTGTCCTGCGTTCTCCTGGTCTTCATCCTGTGTCCTCCTGATCCTGCGTTACTGTGTTCTCCTGGTCCTTCATTGCTGTGTCCTCCGATCCAGTGCTCTGATTCCGTGGCCTCTGACTCACTACCAGCGATCCTGTCCCTGCAGCCTTGCTGATTTATTCGTTCTTGTTGTCACTACATTAGTCTTGTGACTTTGGATCTGTGCCCTACCTGATACCCGTGTTAGCTGCACAATCCTACCCTAATACCAAAGGACTATTACAGTATTTGTTGCCTGCACAGTTCGTGCTTATTTTTGATTTACTGTATATATTTTTGGCCTTGTCTTTGTATGTATATATATATATTTTGTTTTCTCCTTTGGTTTCCTGTAAATATATATATATATATATATATTTCTTGATTTATCCTATTCATTTGTGTCTTGGACTTTATTTCTTTGCCATATTGGTTCCCACATTTAAAGTGACAGTGCTGCTCCAGGGCAGCACCCCTTCATGTCATTACAAGCTGGTAGAATATATAGTGATATTTGGAGCTGGTAAAATAGATACAGGTAGCTGGAGCTGGTAGAACAGATACAGGTAGCTGGAGCTGGTAGAACAGATAGAGGTAGCTGGAGCTGGTAGAATAGATAGAGATATATGGAGTTGGTAGAATAGTTAGTGATATCTGGAGTTGGTAGAATAGGTATAGATAGCAGGAGCTGGTAGAATAGTTAGTGATATCTGGAGCTCGTAGAATAGAGATATCTGGAGCTGGTAGAATAGATAGTGATATCTGGAGCTGTTAGAATGGATAGAGATATCTGGAGCTCCCGGTAAGCAAAAAGGAGGTGCGGCAGGAATCGCTCCCAGTCCCTGCAAGCGCCCTTGAACGTCTTCAGCATCTGCTTCAGAGTCCCACTGAACTGCTCGCATAGACCATTGGTCTGGGGATGGTACGGGGAGCTAGTCAGGGGTCTTATCCCACAGACCTTCCACAACTGCTGGGTCACAGCGGCAGTGAACTGGGTACCCTGGTCTGATAGGATTTCCTGGGGAAATCCGACTCTTGAGAACACCTTGACCAGGGCATCCACCGTCTAATCCCTAAATGTCCAGCTAATGGAATATCGTGCCCAATCCATTATCAGCTCCTGCCTGTATTTTTGGGGTACCACTAGCTGACGTTTTTGCCTTGGCCCCAGGGCTTTGGTTTGGGAATCTATACAACCGCCCCCCCTCCCACACATACTGCTCTCCATCCAGTCCCCCTGGGTCAGAGATGGCCTCTTCCCAGTATCTTGGCAAAGTGGGGTCTCTCGCTACCTCTTTCCCAAAATCTTCAGGGGTGTCCCAGGGTACGGGCTCTACCGTCAGGGTTGAGGAAGCATGTCTTACCTGGGTCTCCGGAGTTTGAGAGTGGCTTTCTGCAGCACTGCTCTGAGCTTGGATAGTCACAGCGTAAACCTCCTGGTTAGGTGTAGGCATATAGGCGGAAGTAAGTGGACCTAAGTCATTTCCGAGGATCACATCTGCAGGCAAATCCTTCATGACCCCCACTTTCACAGTTCCAAACCCCACACCCCAATCCAAATGAACCTGGGCGGTAGGAATCCTGAAGACGGCTCCCCCTGCTACCCGTATAGCGATGGATTTGCCGGGTGGCTCGTGGTTGTTGAGCAAGTATCTCTGTACTAGGGTGATGGTGGCTCCTGTATCTCGTAGGCCTTGCACTGTCTTGCCCTTAACCATCACTAGTCGTCGGAGGTGTTGTCGATTATCTCCGCTGGTGGCCTGCACCGGGTTGGCCTCATGAAGGAACCCCAAGTGCTCCTCCCTGGCCTCATGAAGGAACTCCCAGGCCTCCCAGGTAGAGGACATGGGGTAGTCGATGGTGTGCACTGCTGGTCGAGAGCTGGTACCGGAGGGACAATTCCACATAGATTGGGTAGGTTCTATTGGGCAATCCCTGCGGTAGTGTCCCACCTGCCTGCGCCGGAAACATCTAGGTCCCGTAGTCTGGGGAGGTCGACTAACGGCTGCTGGGGCTCGCTGTGGTGGTGAATAGTTGCCCCCTGACAGTGGTGCCGGTGGCTCAACCCGTGCTGGTTGAGGTCTGAGGGAAGGTCGTTCCGGCTTGCGGGCATCCGTATATTCATCTGCAAGCCGGGCTGCTTCTTGCAGGGTGAGGGGGTTACGATCCCTCACCCATTCCTTTACATCCGTTTGTAGCAGCGAGAAAAACTGTTCAAGCAGCACCAGCTGTAATAATTCCTCCAGGGTGTTAGCTTGGCATCCATTCACCCAGTGGGTGGCTGCCCGATGCAGCCTGCAAGCCCACTCTGTGTACGAATCGGTTGCTGTCTTCCTGGACTCCCGGAATTTTCACCAGTACGCCTTTGGGGTCACTGCGTACCGGGCTAGGAGGGCTTCCTTCACCCGCTCATAGCTGCTTAGGTCCTGATCAGGAATGGCTCTGAATGCATCAGCTGCTTTGCCAGAGAGCTTTCCAGCCAAAATTGGAACCCGTTACCCTTCTGATATCTTGTGTAGGGCACATTGTCTCTCAAAGTCTGCCAAATAGCCATCAATCTCGTCTGTAGCCTCCTCAAATGCTTTGAATGCGCTGAAGGGAATTTTCTGCGGTTCGGGGTTAAAGCTGGAACTGTTAGGTGCGACCGCTGTAGTTCTCTGCGCCTCCACTAAGCGGATTTGTAATTCCCATCGCTTATTCGCATTTTCATTCGCACTGTCAATTATACGAAGGATGATTTCTGGCGCAGGGTTTGTCCCGAACAGCGCCAGCCATTCCCTTATTTCTCGGTCCACTTTGCTTTCTTCTGCACGAACAGACGGGGTAGCCGCAGCCACGCTTTCCCTGTCCAGCTCCATTAGTTCGCTTATAATACAGCGCTTGGTCTTATTGCTGCCGCTGCCCCCTCGAACATCCAATAAGTCTTTCAGGGTGTTGCGCTTGAGCTTGTTGTAGTAAGCTTCCATGCATGCTCCAGGTTCAGCCTTGAATTATAAAAACATGAGAAATGGACGATCCCGCAGCTGCCACCAATTGTGACGATCCAGCCCTCTCTGACCGTCTTGGGTTCCCGATCTCTCCCAGTAGTTAGCGAATAATGCTTCCAGGCAGAGTGTAGACACAAGCATAGCACAACCCTCCACACATGAGCCAAGGCTTAATGCTGGGTAGAGATCTGTTTAATGCCACACAAAACAACAGTATTCATGCAGTAAAACCACTCCTGCTCAGAGGAAAACAAAATGACAGTAAAAAGGGTCAGACAGAGTTTGAAATTATGACAGTTATTAAGGGTTTAAACTGGTGTTCTAAGAGGGAGGTGGGGGGGGGGGGAGAACAAAACAGTCAAACTAAGTCCATAAAACAGGGGCCTTCTTCACAGTGATATCTGGAGCTGGTAGAACAGATAGAGATATCTGGAGCTGGTAGAATAGACAGAGATAGCAGGAGCTGGTAGAATAGATAGAGATATCTGGAGCTGGTAGAATAGATAGAGATAGCAGGAGCTGGTAGAATAGATAGAGATATCTGGAGCTGGTAGAATAGATAGAGATAGCAGGAGCTGGTAGAATAGATAGAGATATCTGGAGCTGGTAGAATAGATAGAGATAGCAGGAGCTGGTAGAATAGATAGATATCTGGAGCTGGTAGAATAGATAGATATCTGGAGCTGGTAGAATAGAGATATCTGGAGCTGGTAGAATAGATAGAGATATCTGGTGCTGGTGGAATAGAGATATCTGGTGCTGTTAGAATAGATAGAGATATCTGGTGCTGGTGGAATAGAGATATCTGGTGCTGTTAGAATAGATAGAGATATCTGGTGCTGGTAGAATAGATAGAGATATCTGGAGCTGGTAGAATAGATAGAGATATCTGGAGCTGGTAGAACAGATAGAGATATCTGGAGCTGGTAGAACAGATAGAGATATCTGGTGCTGGTAGAATAGATAGAGATATCTGGTGCTGGTAGAATAGATAGAGATATCTGGAGCTGGTAGAATAGATAGAGATATCTGGAGCTGATAGAATAGATAGAGATATCTTGAGCTGATAGAACAGATCGAGATATCTGGAGCTGGTAGAACAGATAGAGATATCTGGTGCTGGTAGAATAGATAGAGATATCTGGTGCTGGTGGAATAGAGATATCTGGTGCTGTTAGAATAGATAGAGATATCTGGTGCTGGTGGAATAGAGATATCTGGTGCTGTTAGAATAGATAGAGATATCTGGTGCTGGTAGAATAGATAGAGATATCTGGAGCTGGTAGAATAGATAGAGATATCTGGAGCTGGTAGAATAGATAGAGATATCTGGTGCTGGTAGAATAGATAGAGATATCTGGAGCTGGTAGAACAGATAGAGATATCTGGAGCTGGTAGAACAGATAGAGATATCTGGAGCTGGTAGAATAGATAGAGATATCTGGAGCTGGTAGAATAGATAGAGATATCTGGAGCTGATAGAATAGATAGAGATATCTGGTGCTGGTGGAATAGACAGATTTTGTGCAATGTCTGACTATTTTGCGTTTACTGCAGTCTGTGCAGCAAAGAAGGGAGGGCTGGTTTTGGGGAGGGGGCCGTGAGAAAAGGCTCGTTTTCGGGAGGGGGCAGGAAAAGGTTTTTGTGGAGAGGACAGTGAGAGAGAAGGCTGGTTTTGGGGAGGGGGCAGTGGGAGAAGGCTTGTTTTGGCAGGGGGCCGTCAGTGAGAGAAGGTTGATTTGGGGGGGGCAGTCAGTGAGAGAGAAGGCTGGTTTTGGGGAGGGGCAGGAGAAGGCTGTTTTGGGAGGGACAGCAGTGAGAGAGAAGGCTGGTTTTGGGGAGGGGACAGTCAGTGAGAGAGAAGGCTGGTTTTGAGGGACAGTCAGTGAGAGAGAAGGCTGGTTTTGGGGAGGGGGCAGTCAGTGAGAGAGAGAAGGCTGGTTTTGGGGAGGGGATAGTCAGTGAGAGAGAAGGCTGGTTTTGGGGAGAGGACAGTCAGTGAGAGAGAAGGTTGGTTTTGGGGAGTGGGCAGTCAGTGAGAGAGAAGGTTGGTTTTGGGGAGGGGACAGTCAGTGAGAGAGAAGGTTGGTTTTGGGGAGGGGGCAGTCAGTGAGAGAGAAGGCTGGTTTTGGGGAGGGGGCAGTCAGTGAGAGAGAAGGTTGGTTTTGGGGAGGGGGCAGTCAGTGAGAGAGAAGGCTGGTTTGGGGAGGGGACAGTCAGTGAGAGAGAAGGCTGGTTTTGG